CTTTTACTGTAGTCCGTTGATGAAGCCGTAATAATTGTTCACACAAGCGCAAGTAGATTGTATCATTGAACCCGGTTTTCGTGACCGCGCATTAACCTTTGTATGTACTCGGGGGTGCATTGTACAATATATATATATATCGACCACTCAGTCGTTAAAGTTTGATGTTATTATACTCAGATCTAGATTTGCACTATAATCGGCAAGTATATTGTACTACGATTGTTAGACTAGCTACGTGTACAGGTCTGTTTTCATATGGGTGCCGTAACGTCTCACTGTAACACCACACAGGGTATCCGAGAACTGGCGTACAGTGTGTACAGTGCATCGTGTATTAGCTGGAAGTCTCGGTCAGTTCTCGGTCGGTACAGTACAACGGTCATATCTCCATGCCATCGACTGATCAACTGTTATCGTTCTTTGGGAATCCAACAATACACAGGCTGGAAGAAGTCACGTGGTGTATCTTCTCGGCGTGTGTTGTAGATTCAAATGACGTTTCGTAGGTTTCGTAGGTTTTCGGAACTTTACGAGAAACGCATGCTTATCATGCATATTTATACGTGAAATATCTTCTCTGAATATTGAGTTTACCTAATTTCAAAGTAAACTTAGCACATACACATGTTGAACTATCTTTCTGTCGCTGAATAGTGTAGTATGTGCCTTAGTGTTGTTAATGTAAACTACAAGAAATGAAACAAGACACAACTAATTAAACCAAATAATTTTCTAGTAGTCGCATCAAAATCTGTTGACTTTGCCCATTTGTAGATATAACTGAATTTAAATGATTAAATGCTCCAACTATGATACAGAAACTTATGCAACAAACAATACTTCGTGAAACCGAGGATATGAATAACTTCGATATTTCTTATTGAGTTATTATATTATATGCAAATTCAAATACAGGCCTGACATTTATTTCATCTATTGTGAGTGTTATATGAGCGAAGCTGCGTCATTCTTTATGGATTCAGCAATCGTGCGCTTTTTACTGAGTAACTAAATGGTTAGTCAAATGCACCCGCCTCTTCATGTCAAGACTTCATTACTTGAAGATAAGTCTGTAAGAAAACAGTGAACTCAATTTAAGGTTATTAAATATTTACTTGCAATTGGAGTTTCATTCTCAATGACATAGGGAAAGATTGAGACACGCTGATACTGATAGAAAACAATTTGTATTTTAATGTTACTCTGTTGAACAATCTTACTAATCACGTTCAGTAGATGTTTTGCCAACATTGTTCACATATACTACTGGCTTCGTTATATTCACCAAAGAGCGTTCAGTCAAGGTCAGTCAATCAAATCACAGTGACATATACTACTCCAGACAAATCGTTCACGAGTCATTAAATTGCAAAACATTCAATTTCATCTTCATATTCATAACATAACATTGTATTAAGTTGTATTTTTCTGTTTTGGTAAAACAGTACTGCCTTTCATACAAACACACAATTCTCCGTGCGCCTATGTCATTTCGTTGAAAAATAATATTCTTATTCACATAAATTATATTCAATTCAATGTTGAAGCTGATGTTCGGTTGCAGCTACTATATGTATGCTGTTGACTAGCCAATGCTTCACATATGACATTTGTTCAATCGATCGTTATAAATATCATTGCTTAGTAACGGTAAGAACCGCTTTAGTTTGAAAAAATATATTATAAAGTAAAGCCAACGCAGAACTCGGCCACGGCTCGCCATTCCAATCCAATACAGATTGACGACTTACGTGAAAGCGATGCTCTTATGTTTGAAACAAAAGGTTGTATGTCTTCATAAACATCGTCTAAGCAATAGAATCATTAGGACGGCTATGTTGTGAGAGACAAAAAACACGATGTTTCAAGAACAAGTTATATACCGTAATTAAAGTTAACTACAAGATCGGTCAAGAAGTTAGCTCTGTTTTATAGAGCTCAGATCAAATATCAACTCCCACAATTACGAAAAAGGCAGCACGTACTTACGTACATATAATCCAAGATAAGCGTTGTCTGCTTCGCACTGTGGTCTTGTTTCACATTAACTTCTAGAAGGAAAAAGCTAGAACTACTTCACACGAATAATTAATCAAAATCTATAGAATCATATTTCATTAATATTATTTAAACTAAATTCCTGACTTTTGAGTGCTTCATGACTGCTCATTTTCAAGGTTTGAACGCGTGCGGGCTTACTGTGAGTGGGGTTGTTTTTGAATGATCACCGAGGCGTAACATCTTGAATAATCTTATTTAGCAGAAAGTGTCAGAACTTCACAAATTCCTCCAGAAGCGTGATATAACTTGCAGTAATGCACGAAGGAGAAAGATTATTGAGTTTGTATAACTTGCCAATGAACTAAATACTCGTCCCTTGAAGCCTGGAGATCGTGATTTATCGAGTAAGCGACATAGTTGTACAATTCACTTTTGCATTTTTGAACAAAATACCAGGGACTGAAAACAAATACTACCAGAAATAATTTTGTGAGCATGTCATAATTTAGATGTTACAAACTATACCTTAATTTTTTCAACTGTAATAAAAACATACTAAAATCTTACGTTGATATGTTTTCCAATTACATGAATGATTTTTCTCACCTCTCGTATTTTCTTTTTCTCTTTTCCTGAATTACACTTTCTAGTAAATGACGGAATGGCAAGTATTGCCTTTCGTTCCAAAAGCAGTCCCTACATATTAAAACCGCGATGAGCTATGATTGTTACAGTCATAGCTCATCGCGGTTTTAATATGTTTTATTATGTTACGCCTTACTCTACAAGTTCAACAAATCATTGTTCATTGTATTAAATAAGTAGAATACATTGTCATCCCATAGCTCGGATACAAATATAATTGTCAGTCATTTGTATGGAATAGACGAAGTCTGAATAAAACAATTAATAATACACCTGGTCTTTGGGTAGGATACTGTAAATGACAACTGCAAATGTGTTTTTATTTGGTCGCCACGACAAGGGAAGCGTTTGAAAAAAAAGCTGCCATATAGGGTATGCAGATGGTAAAGATTTCAGTCGGCACATTGTCTTCTGAATGTAGTAAACACATTCTCATATACTTGTTTGTCTTTCAGTCATCACCCGTCGAATCAATGCAATCCAATTTCGTCTGAGAGATCGATTTTTCGCCAGAAGCATTGCAATACCAGTTAAATATTTTATATGGGCTGTACCCCACTCACGTCGTCAAACACCACTATCATCTTATACTTCATTACGCCCTCTACTGACAAAAACCGATAACTCCAAAGTCAGAAAATATTCGTTGTTTAAAATGATTGTATATGTTAAACAGTAAATACAAAAGGAATCAGAGCTGCAGGATTAATCCGACTTAAAATAACCATATTATTTTCAGAATTATCAATGTCATAAGAATATTAACAATGAAATCGTATATGGGCTGGTTGATACAGCGGAGGAAGACTAATCAGGCATATTATCTTTCGAAACGTCTTGTCTTGAAACGCATTTTTGACACTACTTAACACTCATTCACACTTAAAGTAAAATTCAGTTTTAGATGATTGGACAAAATATTTGATATCACAATCATTTTATGCTATTTATGAACATTCATATTACAAAATACCGAAAAGAATTAGCTAGGGACTACATAACTTTATATCCGTATATTTTTCATAGATCTTTTTCAAAAATTACATTATCTGGTCGAATAAATTCATTTAAAACTACTATGGATGCCACATAAAAACCTATCACAGCGTGATGACATCCAATAAGATATATGATGAACAGATTAGTTAGGGACCATAGTTGATGGGTTATCATGTTCGAAAATATATACAACAATTTATTAGAATCAGTTTATTTCCATAGTAGCATACGTTCTTGTCT